CCCCGCAGTGCACAGAGGCAGTGGAGGGGCAGCCGCTGGGAGAGCAGGCAGCACATCGTGAGCAGAGAGCAAGGCAGAGAAATCACACTGAACTTGCATTCGAGAAGAACAGTGTTCAAATCCTAGCGCCAGGTTCTGGGAAGGGTGCGTGTGATACGGCCTCCCAGGAAAGAGGCACTAAGATCAGGAGGCTGGATCTCATGACCCTGCCAGACCACGGAGTGTGGCTCCATCCATGGGCTCCGGGGAATGCTAAGGCTCACCCCTGCTGCTGTGGTACTAAGCAAGTTACCTAAGCCCTCTCTGCCTCAGCTTCCTCACATGTAAAATGCAGGTAATCACAGTAACAGCCTTGTCACACTGCTAGAACTAAATGAGTTAATGTGTCTTAGCGTTAACACACAGTGCTCAAAAAAGACCTGCTACGACCATTGTCATCACCAATCACTGTCCCCAATCATTGTCATCACCATAAGAATATCACCACCTTCACCATCAGTATCTTACCAGCGTCACCATTAGCACCATACAAGTATCATCACCGTCAACACCACCAGTGCTATTACCATCACCATCATCGTAATCATAATCATGACACCACCACCATCACCATCATCATCATCATTATATCACCACCATCACCACCACCACCACATCACCATCACATCACCACCACCACCACCACCACATCACCATCACCATCATCATCATATCACCACCGTCACATCACCATCACCATCATCATCACATCACCACCACCACCATCACCATCATAATTATATCACCACCACCACCAACACCATCATCATCATTATATCACCACCATCACATCCCCACCACCAACACCATCACATCACCACCACCATCACATCACCACCATCATCACCATCACCATCATATCACCACCACCACTACCATCACCACCATCACCACCACCATCACCATCACATCACCATCATCATATCACCACTACCACCACCACCATCACCATCATAATTATATCACCACCACCACCAACACCATCATCATCATTATATCACCACCATCACATCCCCACCACCAACACCATCACATCACCACCACCATCACATCACCACCATCATCACCATCACCATCATATCACCACCACCACTACCATCACCACCATCACCACCACCATCACCATCACATCACCATCATCATATCACCACTACCACCACCACCATCACCATCATAATTATATCACCACCACCACCAACACCATCATCATCATTATATCACCACCATCACATCCCCACCACCAACACCATCACATCACCACCACCATCACATCACCACCATCATCACCATCACCATCATATCACCACCACCACTACCATCACCACCATCACCACCACCATCACCATCACATCACCATCATCATATCACCACTACCACCACCACCATCACCATCATAATTATATCACCACCACCACCAACACCATCATCATCATTATATCACCACCATCACCACCACCACCACATCACCATCACATCACCACCACCACCACCACCACATCACCATCACCATCATCATCATATCACCACCGTCACATCACCATCACCATCATCATCACATCACCACCACCACCATCACCATCATAATTATATCACCACCACCACCAACACCATCATCATCATTATATCACCACCATCACATCACCACCACCAACACCATCACATCACCACCACCATCACATCACCACCACCATCACCATCACCATCACATCACCACCACCACTACCATCACCACCACCATCACCACCACCATCACCATCACATCACCATCATCATATCACCACTACCACCACCACCATCACCATCATAATTATATCACCACCACCATCACCATCAATGAAATACCACCTAACCCCAGACATAATAATGATTTAAAAAGAAAAAAAATGGTAAGTGCTGGAGGGGATGTGGTGAAAGGGGAACACTCCTACACTGTTGGTGGGGATGTAAATTGGTCCAGCCACTGTGGAGAACAGTATGGAGGCTCCTCTAAGACCTTCAAATATAACTACCTTATGATCCAGCAATTCCACCCCTGGGTATCTACCTAAAGGGCAGGAGAGTGCTCAGTCAGAAAAGCACTTGCACAATTATGTTTATTACAACATTATTCATGATCGCTAAGACATGAAACCAACCCAAATGTCCACAAACAGATGAATGGATTGAAAAAGTGTGGCACATACACTCCATGGAATACTATTCAGCCATAAAAAGCAACAAGGCCCTGGAATTTGATAGAGAGTGGACGAATATGGAAGATTTGTTGCTGAGTGAAGTGAGTCAGGCTGTGAAAGAGACACTGTATGTCTCCACTTAACATATACCGACTGTCCGCACTCTACAGTAGAGACTGAAAATCTGGAGAACATAAGAGCATTAAAAATTGTCATGGACACTAGAGACGAAGTGGAAGGACAGTGTGGGAGGGGAGGAGCATAGGAAAGGAAATTTCAGGAAAAAGTAGAGAGGTAAGACACTTGTGGGACACAGGTATGGTTTATTATCTGTTGACGAAGATGTGCATAGTATTCTCTACTGCGCTGGACTCAGGTGTATACCATGCTGGGTAAAGTCTCTTTACAATCTAAATGATGTACAGCAATTGAATGTCTAAATAATAATAATAATAATAAATAAATAAATAAGAAAAAAGTTTCACCACCAAGTCAGCGTCATCTTGCACTGAATTTAGCAATAACGGCAGCCCAGTATTTGTGGGCTGGGGTGGGGCGCCTTCAGT